ACAGGTTCGCACTTTTATCCCACTTCTTTGCTCAAATGCCTCCTATTAAAACATACATTTAGGGAAGGAAACGAACTGTGTGAAAGCTCGTTTGAAAAAGACGGTCGCTGCGGTTGGGTTTCCCATCATGCAAGCGTCTCTTTCCACAACGCTCTGCGTTCTCAGTCTCTTCTTTGTCCAATTACACATGTCAAAGGTGAACCACCCAAATTTCAAGGCTTTGCAGTTCCTCTAAGAAAAACAACCACATTTCAGATCTTTGCCCAGTGCATGCTTCTCGTCGTGCTCATCGGCATGATTCATGGCCTCTTAATAATACCGGTGATTTTCAACTTAATAGCAGCACTCCCCTCAAGGTATAAAGATACAGTTACGAATCGCTCATAATAGATGAGGATGACTCCTTCTATCGACATTTATGCATTTCTCACGTTGAATTAATGTAAATTATTTGGTTGTTCATGCTTCGCCTACATATGTTTTCATACGCATGTCGAGGACACTTTTCTACCTGATTTTGTTCATTTCATTGACAAGCTTGATGTACCATTTTCAAAGCAGAAACCTAACTACTATACGGGTACTGAATGAAGATTTCTGCCTCAAACCTGTTTGTGAAGCAAAGAAGGAAGATAGAATGCACAGATAACAGTTTTCAGAAACAAGACCGCTAGCAGTAACGGTGTAGACGGGAGCTGAACGCACTGGTTTCGTCACCCCACCGCTGAAACTTATTCAAATGTGTGAGACAGGATCAACAGTATCATCACTGGACACTAGACCAGAAAGACGCAAAAATTTCTAGCTTCCAAATGGAGTAATCCCATCATATCTTCTTCCGAACTTTATCGGAGCTAAACGCCTTGCCAAAATATCCAAATTCAGATTCGCCGATTTCACTAGACCAAAATCTCTTCTATTGTTCAAATTAGAAAAGAAATTCCTTCCACTGTTTAAATTACCCTCTACCGTACAGGGTATGAAGGGGTGTTAATATAATAAATGCTGCAAGTAGGCAGCATCAATTTGTAAAAACTGTAATTAACTATAGCAACTGTTCATGTTGAAACTCGCCATGAAGGAATTATCAGAGTGCGAGTACGAGATGAAATATGGGCATGTATCGAGTGAAAACTTCTACATTTATTGTGCCTGGCAGCCTTAACAATATGAGCTCGAAACCAACAATGAATACGAGACATTCACCAAAGAGTAGAAGAAACAAATTCCATTAGCCGGCAAACGTTCCCCCTCTCCATGTGGTCATGTGAACAGGTTTAACTATGACAGAGATTTAAAATGAGGAGATCTACTCGAATTGTCAAACAGTTAAATGAGATATTGTAAATATATCTACTTTGACTACCCGATTACAACATTATGAACTGTACAGATTTTGAAGTGGTCCCAAAGTCAACAAATCAATTTACAAAGTACACAAATTTACCGAGTACACCAATGAGCCTAAATCCAGAAGTAACTCCTCTCTCAGATTAGGGAACTCGTACCGCTCGCAAAAAAAAACGGTTGTAGCGACCCGTTATAATTAAACTGATATAGTTACTATTATATGTATCGTAATAATTCACCACGGACAGAGATAAACGTAAGGCATCTATACCGAACAGATTAGAAATGATGAATTAATGATTTGATGATGTATTCTTGGAAGAAGACGTGGACATATAAACAACATAGAGATCAGAAAAGCCTTCGAGTGTGTCTTGGCATGTCCATTAGTTATGAAAGCCGATGGCGTTGGCAACCAAAACTAGAAGATCTTCGCTCTCTTTCCATTAGAAATTTGAAATGGTGAATCCGCTTGCGGATGGCGCCGGTTATCGAGCCTAAGAATAGCTCAACTAATGGGAGCAGCGAAGCGTCAGCATAGTCACACTTCCAAGAGATAAAGTAATATTGAACGATAAACTTTGAAAAAGAGAAATTGGGGTGCGGCCGGGCTCCCAGACAATACCTAACCATTTGGGCGCGGCCGCGGCGAACGCGGCCGAGTCGATAGCCCGCGAACCGTTGAAAACGCACTCGAGGTGCCCGCGAACTGTGCTGTGCTGAGTTCGCGGGCACCTATCAACTCGGCCGCGTTCGCCGCGGCCGCGCCCAACTTTAGGTATTGTCTGGGGGGGGGGGCGGCACACTCAGATCTAAGACATTTGGGATAATTTGAATTAATGTGAAATAAACTGAAAATTTTACAGTGGCTCGTCAGCTTTCGCGAGCTGAGTGGTCTTGTTTGAGAAACTCTTATAGTAACAAACTTCACAAGAGAGGGCAAAATCACGACTGTGGCGAGCTTAAAATTTTTGCGAGACTATCCAAATATAGATAAAATCGAGTAGATGGGATAAAACAGATAAAATCTGAAGATCCATCTAAACATCCTTGTAAAGGCAAACGTACCAGATCTTGGCTGAACATTTATAGTGTAAGCCTCATATGATGCATTTTCATTGTTCATCGCCTCGCATTCCATTGCCTCTGCAGTGGCTAAAAATTACGAGATTAAAGAATCACTTTCACAATGACTTGAACATTCCCTACAGAAGTTCACTCCTCTTTTTTTGATTTGGCTTCCCGAAACCACACCCTGGATTTGAAATTTGCCTTTGTAAACAAATCCTTCGACTGTTATGCCTCATTTATGACAGACTTCTCCTTCACGACTTTTCACTCTCTGTTTCAAGAAACTTAATTTACGATTACCACAAAATGAAAACGAAAAGAATACATTCTAAGCTATAACGTGGATACCTCTAATTGTATCAGTAGCGGAGTTCTGCTCTCGAAGCCATAGCACACGGCTGCGCTCCGCTTTGTAGAAATCCCTGCAAATGACAATAACTGGTCGAACCACAATAACTAGACCGAAGAATTGTTCGTAATCTGTATTTTTTGCTGTGAGGAACCTTTTCCTATAGGACCTTCAACTACACTCCTCCTACAATGATGCTTTATCCGTATCTCACAGAGGCCCATCGACATGACTGACGTCGCAAGTGTACTGAAGAAATAGTTAGAGGACTATGGTTTACGGAGAGCGCAGAGGCGGTAAAGGGTTGAGTTTAAGTAGTCCGTCGACCTGGAAAGGAGGGGGACCCACGAGAGAACGCAGAGGCGGTTTAAAGGGCTCAGTTCATGTAGTCCGTCGACCAATGACTATCCGGCTCGTTTGCATGAAATTCTCGCACTGTTTGATCTTCCTCTTTGGAACGGAAGGGAATGAAAATTAGTACTTTCTTCCTGAGATGGCAATTATATGAGAGCTCACTTTTCCAAACGTAATATTTTTTGTTTAGGTTAGTTGAGTTACTTCATTTCTTGCTATCAATCTATGGAGATGTCTTCGCAACAAGTTTCTTCATAAGTAGTTTTGTCCAAGATAAGAGTTGAGGAAGGGCAAACATAATGAAATTCGCCTGGATTCAAGTTTAAAAATCGATCAGCGCCACGGACAGCCATTGTGTGGGGCCCTGGAAATGTAAGTATGTGGATAAAGCCCCCTTCTCCTTGTTCTCGTGTAAAAACTTAGTGCGCAAAAGTATGATTATTCAACTGGGACTAACTATAAGA